TATTTTTTTAATAATGATTTTTCTGATAACATAGAAATTTGATATTGACACCGATTAGAATAAATGGCATATAAAGTCACATGAAAGGAAAGTGATTGAATTAAGTGATGCTAAACATCCATAAATAAGTCATAAAAACGATCTATATCCACTCATCCCTACCCTACTCCTAGAAACCTGTTTGAACCAAACGTTACGTTAAACTTGTCATACATGTAATGTAACTGCATATCAAAAGACACAATACTAAATAATAAAATTGTTCATAAATATCATCGCATAATTTTTTGCTTTCAATACTCAAAACAAAACACAAACGCAAAACACAGAACTATAGAAGTAAGCATATATATATATATATATCTATTAATAATATAAAAGGAACCTACCCTTCAAATCTCCTTCTACATTTTTATATATATAATTATATATAAATTCTATTATAAAATAAATTAATATTAAAAATAATTAAAAGAAAATAAATATATCAAAATAATTAATACCACAACAATTATTAAAAATATTATAGCTTTCACCTCTATAATTAATAAAAAAAAATTACAATGTAAATGATCGATTGGATAAAATAAATAAATAAAATTGAATAAAAATAGTTACAAATTTTATGTCAACAATTAAAAGAATTAAATTTTAAAAAAATAAAAAAATAACTAAATTAAAATAATTGAAATCTATAACATTAATCAAATTATTTTTTTAAAATATATTTGTTAAATCAAATTATTCTCCTAAAGTATATTTTAAAGAATATTTAAAAAAAATCATGTAAATTATTTATATTAATTGTAAATATGTAACTGAAAATTTTACATTATAGACAATTTTATAATACAAGTAATTTAATTTGTACATAAAATGGAACGGCCCGGCTGGCCACTACACTCACAACCACAGCGCACCGGAAACACTAGACAGAATAGAACGAGTATATAAATATAGGATCTAGAATATAAATATATACAATGTCCCAATCCGACTAGAGTTAGGGTGTACAATACAAAAATACATCCAAAACCACTATATCAAGCGGCTGAAACAAACAAAACATCAAAAGGAGTCAGCTCCGCCTGCCAGCTACAGACTCACCACTAGTCACCACCTATCCCTGCTCTGCTCCCATACATAGTATGATCATTGCAGTCCAACCACATGGAAACAACAAAAGGGTAAGCTAGCATGAAAAGGAACAACATAAAGGAAGATTTAAGTAATATGAACAAAATACAACTATCAACACATCATCAACATACATTTCGTCGGTTTTACAGCATAATCATCAGCTTAACAAAATCAGCTTAAAATACCACAACATTCAGCAATAATAGCACACATCTCACATCATCAGCATACGACTCATCAGCCATACAGCATAACAGCAATAAAACATACAATGCGTCGTCACGCATATCAACTCGGAGATCTCCTACAACAACTCAGCCTTTCGGCCTACAACACCTCAGCCTTTCGGCCTACAACACCTCAGCCTTTCGGCCTACAACACCTCAGCCTTTCGGCCTACATCATCCAATATCAACACACAGTTCAACACAACTGTACAGCTCAACATATCAACTTACAATAATATACAACTGGTACAACTCAGCAAATCAACTTACAACAATATACAACTTACCAACATACAACACATCTCAACATCTTGCAACACAACTAATTATAGCTCAACATTATCAACAACATTATCTACTAATCATCACATCATATCCATCATTTTCAACTCAGCTCAACAATCTATAGTACACAATATTTTAATTCATGAAAATCATCAATAACAGCTTAAAACAGCATGATCAACAACTTCACAACGTAAAACATGTTCAACACATAATACGACCCAACCATCTTGTTTACAACTCATCTATCTTGTCAAATTACTCACCCAAACAACACCAATCAACCTAAGCACCTAAAACAACTCTTAGCTTAACCAAATCACTAATGTGAAATGGCAACCTTCACAGAAAACAGCGCATCATGAGTTATACTACTCCTACCATACTCATCCTTATCTCATATGAAAGATAAGAAGATTTCCTACAACTCTCATGAAGACACCAAGTCCTAATTCCTTCATCTACCTTGTGAAAAATTCTAAAAACCGCAACAGTTATAACCAATGCTGGCAGCATGACCTCTCTTCACTAAAACAGCCATATCGGGAGTTCTAGAACTCCTTTTTGGGTGATTTCAACGCCATTGGAAAGATAATATCCAAGGCTACAACCTTCATGAAGACTTTGAGACCAAATTCGGTCATCAAGACCCACCGCTGCAGCTCTCAATCCAGCGCTTTAGCTTTTAACTCTGCCATTTCATTTTCCCTTCCACAGCTATGGCTGCAAATCCACGGCCATAGCTACAAGTTTTTGCCACTTCAATTTTTTTTTCCACAGCTATGGCTGCAAATCCACGGCCATAGCTACAAGTTTTTGCCACTTCAATTTTTTTTTCCACAGCTATGGCTGTGAATCCATGGCTATAGCTGTGGGTTTTTGCAAGTGCATTTTTCTTCCACGGCTATAGCTGTGAGTTTCTGATCTTCCAAAAACTCCATGGATTTCACCTCCGTTTTCACTCAAAACCTCCATGAACCTACAATTCAAGGACCCACAGTCCATGCTACAACTCAAATGCAATACTACCAACCACATGCAACCCAAAAATATCAAGAATCACCACATGCATGCATCCAAAACTCAAGAAGAAAAATCATCAATGTTCAACCTTCCATCAAGAAATCAAAAACCCCAACTTTACCCACATGCAACCAACACAACCAGAAAATCCCCAAATTTTATCCAACCCTGAAAACACCCAAAAACACATTTTTCTTCAAGACAACCCATGAATCAGCCAACATCAAACATCTCATGAGTTTCTAAACTCATTTCCAACCAATCCAAGCGAAAACTAGCTTCCCTTACTTCGGTGAGACGATTCCGAGCTCCGGGAAGAGAAAGGAAGAAAAAGGAGAAAAGAAATCCACACTCGGCTAGCTCCGCACGGCTTCACTCTAGAGGAAGGATGAGAAGAACCTCCTAGGTGCTCACGGCTTCAGCTAAAGAGAAGGGAATTTGAGAGTGAAAATTCAAAGTGAAAGGAGAAGGGAAAGTATAAAGTGAGTGATGAGAGGGAGAAAAGAGAGAAGAATGCCACGGGGTCTCACACAAAATACAAAATATTAATTTAAAATAAAACTGATTTAAAAATTTAATAAAAAAGAAAAAAAAAATATTAATTTAAAACATATATCCCTCAAAATTTACATTAAAAACTAAAAATATTTTCATATATATAAAGCATAAATCTTCTATAGTATTTCTTTCTCCTAAAATCTCTCACCAAAACATTCAATAATTATATAAAATTAAAATTATATATATATATAATAATAATAATATTCATAACACATTAATATAGAAAATTGTAACAAAACATCATAAAAAATTAATTTCATCAATTATTATAATTTTAAAATAATTATAAAAAAAAACTCACATAATTTGATTAAAATCAATTATTATGTTAAATTTCATGTAAAATATTTATACTAATTATTAATATTTGACGGAAATTTTTTTTATTAAAAATAATGTTATGGATAACTTTCAAATACAAGTAATTTGATTAGTAAAATGTTTATAATGTAAATGATAAATTGAAAAAATAAATGAATAAAATTGAATTTATATCAACAAGTAAAAAAATTAATTATTTTTCAAAAAAAATCCACTAAAACAATTAAATTAAAATAAAATAAATCTATATTATTAACTAAATTAGTTTCTTGAAATATATTTGTTAAATCAAATTATTCTCTTATAGTATATTTAAAAAAAATATTTTTTAAAATTCATATAAACAATTAGTTATTAAAAAATATTAATAACATGACATAATAAACAATTGATCATAATGAAAGATTAATATAATTATTTAAAAATTATTAAATGTTTTAAAATAAATTAAAATTATAAAATTTTACAAAAATTATCTTAAACATTGTGATTTTGTTATCCACAATTTTTAACACTTGGCTTTATAAAATTGATTTATTAGTAATTATTTTTTGTTCATAAATTTTTTTAATTAAACAATAAAATAGACTTTTGTTAATGATACACTTTTTTCATATGGACAATAATAAAATATGACAATATTAAATTACCTTTTTTTTTTTGTTCGTTCCTAACCTTGTTTAAGCGTGGATCAACTCCTACCGCTAAACTACACGCTTGAGGTTATAAGGTTTGTCTTAAGATATAAAAGTTAATTTAATATTTTTAATTAAAATATTAAATTAACTTTTAAGATATAAAAGTTAATTTAATATTTTTAATTAAAATATTAAATTAACTTTTAAGATATAAAAGTTAATTTAATATTTTTAATTAAAATATTAAATTAACTTTTATATCTTAAGATAAACCTTATAACTATAAAATTAAAAGGCTTGATTATATATTTACTAGTCTTTATGCTTGTGTAATAATATTTTTTTATGTTGAGCATAAATTATAAATTTAGTTAAATTATAATTTGTATATTTTGTTTATATTAAAAAATATTTTGTAATTAAATATTATTGAATAAAAGTAAAAAAAATTGATTAAATATTTTATTAATACTTGAATTTTTGTCAATTTTTATTTTTAATTCTTAATTTTTTTGTAGATTTTTATTTTGTAATTCCTTAAATTTTTCTTCCATCAACATTTTTGGTCTCTCACATCAAGATTTTTTATTTATAAAAAAATTATTAAAAATAAAACTAAATAAAGTTTGTTTATAAACTAAACATAAAAATTGATAAAATTTCAGATACTAAAGACATGTTTAATTCTTTTAAAAAAAATTATTTGTAGAGTAAGCTATAACTGTTCATCAAAAATTTAGTATTGAACATATGTGAGATCAGGATGTGGCATTTGTAGAATCAACCAAATTCTATATCTTTACTTCTATAAATTAAGTCATATTTCTTTTCCTCTCTTCTCCATAGTCTCTTCCTCCTCTCTCACAATGCTCCCTTACCATACCCTTCAAGAAGCACAAGTTGCACTAGGGAGAGAACTATCTCTTGCTGAGACACTATGGTTCAAATACTCAGCCAATAAATCTGATTTTGTTCTCCATTGCCACAACACTCTATTCTTGTGCTTATTTTACTCTATATTCTCCATTCCACTCGTGTTAATCGAGCTTAGTGGGTATGAGAAGTTAAACAAACACAAGATTCAGCCAAGGGTGAAGAGATCCTTCACAGAAATGTTCAAGTGCTACAAAGATGTCATGCAAACCTTTGTCATTGCTGTTAGTCCACTTCAGATCATTTCTTATCCCACCATAAAGGTATACTCTTGTTGACTTCATGCATAGAGTTTAGTTTTCACGTACGGTGTATCTTAGTTGATAGATTTCCATTTCTATACTTTCAATCAATAGAATTCACTGGTCTAAATATGATTTTAAAACAATTATTTTAAAAAATTAATACTAATTATTTTATAATCACTGATCTATCAATTTTTATAACAATTATTTAATTTTATTAATTTTAAAAAAATGAAATATTATTTCTTTTCCTGTTTAATATAATATTTTTGCATATCATTGTTTAATGTTTAAAAACAATTAATATATTAAACACGAGTGGTAGAATTAATTTTATTAGTGGAAAAATAAAATTACTTTTAAATTATAAATTTCAATATATTCCATGCTTGTTACTCTTAGAGGTATATTGGATTGAGATTTCGAAAAATAATTTTAACATGAAAACCCTAAACCTTAAAAGACTTTGTAAGAATATCATGATTTTTTAAGAGACTCTTAAAATTTGAATTTTAATCAAAACTTTATAATTGATATTTTAATAAATTTATATTATAAGATTCTAAAGAATTTTATGTATGTTACTAGAAAACATGGATTTTTAATACTACAAGATTTAATAAATAAATATATATATATATATATATATATAATATAGCCGCTCCCGGCTCCAAACTCGACTCCACCTACACCAAATCCGTGAAGCAAATCCCCTACAACATCTCCGTCATCGAAATCAGCGCGCCGATCATCGCGCCGGGGATCCTCACGGCGCCGCCGCCCTCCGCCGACGTTAACATTACCGCTCTCATCGAGAAAGCGGGATGCAAAACGTTCGCTAACCTAATCGCCTCTAACGGACTCGTTAAAACGTTTCAGTCAACGGCTGATAAAGGTTTGACTATTTTCGCGCCGAATGATGAAGCGTTCAAGGCCAAAGGCGTACCTGATTTGAAAAAGCTCACCAACGCTGAGGTAGTCTCGCTCCTACAGTATCACGCCGCCGCCAAGTACCTTCCTATCGGATCCTTGAAAACGACCAAAGGCTCCGTAGCTACCTTGGCCTCCAACGGCGCCGGAAAGTTCGACTTCACCGTCTCCGTCGCCGGAGATTCCGTCACGCTCCACACTGGCGTAGATTCCTCCAGGATTGCGGATACCGTGCTCGATTCGACTCCGCTTTCGATTTACTCTGTCGACAGCGTTCTCCTTCCGTCGGAACTGTTCGCGAAGTCGCCGTCGCCTGCTCCCGCGCCGGAGCCTGCTTCCGCGCCGTCTCCTTCTCCGAGGCTGGCTCCGTCGCCTTCGCCGCTTCCCGCGTCGCCTCC